TGCAGAAAAAGCAGGTACAGAAGCTCCACTGGATTTATTTTTAACCAGCTTATTTACCTTGCTCCATCTGTTCAAAGCAAACAAACATTGTGAACGGGATAGGTGAGAGGCTGAACTGGATGTATACAGAGGTAATTACCTCTGTTATATTTTATTCAACTCCTGATCTTCAAATTTAATAAACAAGGACTTATTTCGGGTGCAGATGAAGAGCATACTTTCTTCTTTCATTCTTTCTTTGAAATATAAGAACATCCCAAATGGAAGCAAGGAATTTCAGAAGTAGCTACTCATTTTGACTATGTTTTTATATATTGAGTTTGGAGTAGCTTAATAGACATTTTCAGCAATGCTGTATCTTTGTGGTTGTATTCAATATAAATTGGATGTGTATGGCCATCACAGCTTCTTGGCAGCCAAAGACACCTCTCAGGAAGCTTTGGGAAAAATTACTTACCCTTTCTCTGAAAAACAGAAGTCAGATAAAATGCTGGTGAACTGTGGACTTCCCATCCCTTCTCTTCTGCTGCTGATAACAGAGGAGAAAAAGCTATAATTATTTGTTCCTGCCACTGTGTGAAATCAAAATCCTGTCTTCCCCGAAGGACCTATTTGGAGTGAACTGTTTCCTATAACTGAGCTTGGGGTTTCCCCCACCACAAAGTACTCCTTTTATCTTCCTTTTTTATGTGCAGTGTCTTCCAGCTGAGAAAACCCCAGCTCCTTTTGTCCACAGCCACTTAACTTTTGGTAGGCCTAGTTCCAGATTCCCCAGGAAAACTGTCTGTTTGATCTTCACTGAGACTCAACAATCCCGTTTTTGGTTTCACAGAGATTTAAAAAATTTGACTTGATAAAATACCCCAACACGTGTGTCCACAGCCACAGAGTGAGCTGCTGTCTGAGCTTGCCTGAAACTAGAGCTCAGGACTTGTTAAATTAGTTTAACATCAGTCTACACAGATCATCTAGACCACCACCTCCCTCAAGGACAGGGAAATACTTCCCATGTCATAAACTTCCTTTTTGGTATAGGGTGATCAGACACATAATTGTCTGAAAGAGGAACAATGCTGTTCTTCTACAGGCTCCAGCTCTGAAGGTCATGAGGAGAAGGCAGGACTCACTTCAATTGATAATGACAGAAAATATTCATTCAAATACATTCAGTGTGTCAAGTGGCACTTTAAAAACCCTTTGAGGGCAAGACGGACACAGCTGCAGGCGACTGCTTCTGTCTAGGCAGGAACAGGGCACAGAGGGGTCACATTTGCTCAGGCCTGAATCATCTCGCCCAAATCACATTAGAAAGATCTTTCTAAAGGCTTCTTGAGAGAGATCAGATATGACAACCTCAAATTCAACTCTTTAAACTAGGACAGAGAAAATATCGTAAGTTTACAGAATTGTAATAGATAAAATCTTTGCAGTAGTTCAAAAGGATACAAGCCCAGAGGATCTGTTTTTCAGGAAATACACTTTAGCTGCTGTTGCATATCACAAATAACTGTAACTTCATACAAAGCCTTTTTCAGAGTGGTTCTCCCAGTTGTCTTCACTGCAGACTGCAAAGAGTGTTCAGGGTCAGTGGGCTATGTCAGGAATTGCCTCTGAGGAGCTTTGTGAGATTAAAAGTTGGAGTTCTTTTCACTTTAGAAGTTATTTTCTGTTCCAAAGAATAGTTTCAAGATCAAATTTTATGTGGGGTTAGCCATGATGCTTCCTTCATTACAGTTCCCCACGTGTGCTGAGATGGGCTAACTGCTTCAACAGGAACGTGCTGGCTCAAAGTCTTGCTGTGTATTTTAGTTCTCCCCATGCCAACACACATAAGGAGTTTTCTCGCCCCCAGTGAAATGTCTTTTACTTCCCGAAATCAACACACACTGTGCTGAAGTCAGAGCAGCCACCATCAGTATTTTAGCCACTGAAAATGAAAATAAAACCCAATCTGATATGGCAGAAGCTGCAATTGCTAAAAAATCCCTTTGGCAATTTTCATTTTAATGACCTCCTCTGCTGATATCAGAAGGTTATGGCCTGGCAGCTTCCAATTTCTGCACTCACTGCCTGTCTAAAGTCACGCTGCCTTTCTTTAAAATGATTCTAAGACTTTTCCCTGGACTGATTCATTTAACAACACTCTTCAATGGTATTTAAAGGCACTTAGACATGCTCATGAATTAACCTTCATAACCTCCATTACGAATTCATGAGTGTCATACTTACTACACAAATTAGTTATTGTTAGATGTTCAAACAATCAATTTCACACTTTCTTTCATGCTCTGGGCTTACAAAAATATTTACAGAGCTCTCTCATTAGCTTTTCTCAAATCCTTTATTAAAATTTCTTTTGCCACAATAGAGAAGCCTTGGCAACAGCTCCTGCCCTGTACTGGCTGCCTATCACACTCATCAGGATTGCTTCACCATTGCCTTAAATTCCCCTCCGTGACTGTACCCATCTGTTGTTTCATGTCTTATGCCTCAGAAGCAATTTGGGACAGGATTAGCTTTTCATTTCAGACTTTCATTGCTTCAGTCACAATGGGATCATTTTCTGTGACTGAAATCCAACATGCAACGTGCACAGTAGTGAACAAATGAGGAGACAGATAGGGAAAGGCAAAATGCTCAAAATATCCTGTGAAAGCTGGGAGTCAGGGCACTGTTCATCTTTCTGTGTCTGCATCCTTTTTCTCACACTTGTCATCCTTCTCCTTAAAGGGGAATTCCAGGCATTCTAGCAAGGATGAAAAATCAAATTTAAAAAAAGGAAGGAAGATTACCAGGGGTAAATCTAGGGAAGGGGAAGAGTAACTCCTCCAGTTTTCCAAAAGCTCCTATGAAAATGAGCTAAGCTCATCTAAAACGTGTCATGGGCGTCTTTAACCACTAGGAGCCGTATTCAGACCATCTCCCGCCTGTAACGGACCTGGCAAATTTTAGCATTTAGGTCAGGGGAACAGAATCATAGAATCATTTAGGATGGAAAAGACCTCCAAGTCGAGTCCAAGCTGTGAAGATCTTCCATCATCCAGGGCTGCCAGATGCTGTAGTCACCTACACCTCATCCAGACTTGCGTTTGGGACTGCTGAGCTTTCCAGATGCCCAGGAAGGATCAACATGCCCCAGCCTGACCTGAGTCTAAAGCTCATGCTCTATATCCAGTCTGGCTTTCCTCGCTGTCCCAGTGCAATCCCATCACACCCTGCACAGACAGCCAGTATTGACAGAGCTGGAGGAAGGGGAAGTGGTTCTACTGAATCTTACACAGAAACTTTTGGCAATGTTTTCAAAGAGGGTTGTAGGCATTTCTGATTCCAGAGGGGTTTGTAGCTACAACTCTGACTTCTCAGGAAGTCACTTCGGATGAAAGGCCCATTCTCATCAACATCCCACCCTGTTTTCACAAAGCTCTGGATCCACAAAGTTCTGGAGCAGGGGCAAACATGGCTTGGCTGGGATTGTTAATTGCTGTGAGTTAATATACATTTTTTGCCTTCGATTTGCCTGAAAACCTGATGACATTTGGTATTTGATTGTTTTAAATATTTGTTCTTGCAAAGCTTGAAATGTGTCTCTTGGAGCATTTTGCACTCCTGTGATATTCAGCATTTAAAAGCTCAGATATCCCAAATGCCTCTAGAAAAGTAAGCCAGGTCTGCTGCAGAATGACTGGAATGTCTGTCCACTGCCTGGTTACCAAACAGGCTGAAAATATGAGGAGCTTAATGCAAAAAATGCTGATCTTTTCCACTTTCCTCAATCAAATTCTGTCCAGTCTAACCAGTTTGCACACACACACGCCTGAAAATTATTTAGAAGCCAAACCTCTTGTTCACTTTTTCACTATCCAAGGAAGTCAATAATAAACAAATCTTCATTTAAAATTACATATACAAATTTTTAGACGTTATAGGTGTGATTTATTATAGCAACTTCAACAGCCCCACTCCACTGGCCACCTCCCTGGAAGCTGAAACCCATCATCCCATATTTCCCAGCCTACTACAGATGTGAACGAAGAGGATTAATTAGTTGACACTTTGAGAGGTATTTAATTTCTGTGTGATGCCACAGGATTGCAGTGCTGGCCACTTCTCATATAAAGAAGCAGCACTTGATGAACACCTGAATAACCTACAGAGGAAATTTGGTCCCATGAGGTTTAGAGTTCAACAGGTGTGAGCCAAACAGGTGTGAGAAGAAGTAGCACTGAAGGCATCTTTAGTGAAGTGTGTGGCACGAGGGTGACCAGTGTGTGCAGTCTGGATGTGGGTTTGAATCAAAGTGCTTTGAGAACCTCAGGCTGAGGGGGTAAATTTGGATGTTCTGTTAAGTAGTATGTGAATTATTTCGAAGATGAGTCTGCATTTGTAGCATGTGGTGTTGACACATTGATGGCCTTTCCTAAAAGGAAGCAGTGACATGGCTGTGCACCAGGTTTTTTTAAACCAGTTGTGCAGAGATTTTGTAGCAACCTGTAAAACCTGTAATGTACTTGCACAAGCAATTTTTGAGCACCAGCGAATCCTTGTTTCCTGGAGCCTTGTGCCCTGATTGACTCAGTCCCAAGCAAAATCACCAAGTGAAGGTTTTCCCAGAATAGCAGCACCTACAAGTTGTCCTTCCCACCCAGAATTCTCTGATGATGCATGAGTTTCCAGCCATTACTTCAGTAGCTTTGCTTACAGGTGCTTTTTTTTTCTACCTGTCTTCCTATTTTCACAGAGATGGCATGAACTTCTGTTCAGGATTTTGCCCTTCTGTCTTATTTGACTGAAAACAGATTTAAATGTTATTAGCAAGAGAAGAAAGGATGGGAAAATCCATCAGGTGCCGTAGTTCTGCAAGTCTCCATATGAAACCAATCAGAAAATAAGGAATTAAACTCCAGCCAGCATCAGAGAAAGACAGGAAGGCACAGCTGTCATCAGACAGAATGAAAATGCTCTGACAGTAAAAAATAACAACTTTTCCACTCTCTGTGCAGGTCTCTTTCCAGGTAGCACTGAACATCCAAATACAACCTTTCCTCTGGATTTTTTTGCTCAGTTTGCATATGCTGTTGCTGTACTCAGGAAGCATCTAGGTCTTTATCTGATCTCTGTGGCAAAAAAGCAAGAATAGACAGGTAAATTTGCAAAATCTGCTTTTTATTTCTCTGCTTAGAGAAAATAAATTCTGTTGAGGGGGCACGGAGAGAAGGTCTGACAACATTCTGGAGACAACGCGAAGCCTCCTTTGGCTACATTTTCAGTAGAAAAACATTCACTGTCACAATGTTAATTGTGTCACACACATCCACACCTTCCTATGCTTTTCCAGGAGTTCATACTGGCTGCTGCAGACCCAGCTCTGGTGGAACCCTCCCTGCTCTGCAGGGTTAATGTCTGCAGACAAGTGCAGAATCATTTGTTTCTGCTCAGCTGCAGGGACAATGCAGACACAGTTATGTGCAAACAACTCCTCCTCTTGTGGGCAGCAAGTCACATGCCTGACATTAAGTGTAAATCATGTGCAATCTCATCTCTGGCCCTTGTCCAAATCCCTGTCTTCCCTCACATATCCAAACATACAGCATTAGGTCGCACTGACCACCCCACTTGAAACTCTCTTTAGTTTACTGAAGTAAAGGACCACTTTGGTCTTTGCCAGCACACAGGTGGGAAAAGCCTTCTCGGTCCCAAATTACTCTCAGAAGGCAGCACACTTAAGCATCTTACCACATTGCCAGACCATCTTTACTTCTAAAAACAGTTCACATACCTCTTGCCAGGCTTGGCAGAGCCTGGCCCCTATGGGCTAGCAGTCATGGGTAGCAGGTGGCCTGAATTGCCCTCCTGAACTCAGGACACCCCGTTGTTCCATCTGTCACTGACACCATAAGGGATGCCCACCCTATACATTATGCCTGCCATGGAGGGTGAGCTGCCCAGCTGGGGCTGGGGTCTGCTTGCTGGTTTCTCCAGCCCTCTCATTTCTCTGTCCCCAGATCACTGAGCACAAGGATCAGCTGAACCAGAGGAAGCAGGAGCTGAACAGCAATTAGGAGCAGCTCAGTGCCATCCCAGCCCTCCTGACCAGGTTCTGACTCCAGGGTCTCCTAAAGCCTTTGACCCTTGGCTAAAGGGTACCTTGTGGTGTAATCAGCAGGACCAGGTTTAATACGTGATTTGAACACAGCCACAGTAAGCAGGTGGGCGAAGTCTTTAAATATAATAATTAAATATATGTAATTATAGATATTTAGACTCATTCTAGGAGGTTGTTAAGATCCAGCTGTGAAATTTTTGTGCTTGACAGTCCAAATGCTGTTTGTGCACATCCCAAATAGTGCAAGGGGCCAGCACAGCACACTACACTTCACCTGGAAAGAATCCCCTCCAGGCTCCCATGGGAGCAGAGGTTGGTTGTATCCATGACTCAGTAGAGCATGAGGGGAGCTGAGTGCCATCCTCTCACTTGACAGGCTCTGAGATGTGGACACTTGCTATTTAATATTCTGGCTAGAGGTTGTAGCACTTCAGATATGCTTTTTAACTTCAAAAAAAAGCACACCTGACAGCACAAATTAGTCACAGCTAAGGAAAACCTAAGAAAATGCATTAAAATTAGAGCAAAGACTTGGCTCCCAGGAGAGACTAGTGTTTTCATTAGCTGCAAAGTACAGATAAGATTCTGTGGCTGTTTCCTATTTACATTTTGAGAACCAGAGTTGCTGGATATTCCCTTCAACCAGGAGCTCTGGAGTGCTTCACACCCCAGTTGTTTTCCATGATTTCTACACTAATCACTTCTCTTCTGGAAAATTCAGTTCAAGCCCATGTCTACCTCTAACACAGGGAATTTTTGAGGATCTGAGGTATATTCTTTATGCATCAGTCTATTTTTGTATCTTTAAAACATTTTCCTGCTGCGTGGGTCTGCAACAAAGTCCTTACCTCCCGAGGTACAATAGGGAAGGAAACCCAGAGGGAAATGTCCCTTTTGCAGGTTGTGGGGAGGCCTTGTGAGCCAAAACACAGATGAGGTTGAAAGGACTCACAGGAGTGCCAGAGGTGTCCACCTCTCACCGCTCGTGCCGCACCGCTGCAGCTGGAGCAGGATATTTTGCCAGGAAGGAAATCACCTTCTCACCCCTGGTGGGATTTCCCCTGGTTTGCAGATGGCTCTGGTGTGACACAAAAGTCCCATTGCTTCCTAAGCCATTCCTCATCCTCCTCCAGTGCCATCAGCAGCCTCACTGCTGAGTCTGCTCTCAGGTTTTACAGGGAGCAAAACGCTGCTGGGCAACTCTATCAGCCCTGCCCAGGCAGTGGGATGAGCAAGGATCTGGCTCCAGCAAGGAAACCGTAGGACCTTTAGTTCATGGTCCAGCTCTAGTACTCTGCCAAGGAAGGATTTCACTGAGTTATGTTCAGGACCAGTAATTAGACTGTTTCCAGATGCTGCTCAGAGAGGGACTCTGAAGGAGGAAAGGAGGTGGTGAATTTAATAGTTTTATAAAAGGTTTGTTTTCTGACAGCTGGACTGGTTTTAAACAGCCTGGCAAAACCTTAACTCAGTTTTAAAGATGTGCTTTACTACGAAGTGATTCTGCTACCAAAAAAAACCCAACTGGGGAAATAAACTGGTTTTTTATACAAATATTTCAAATTATCATTCTAGCAGAGGAAGTGAGAAAAAAGGCCAGCTCAAAATTTCACACTGTCTTCCCCATGGAGAATAATCCATCACTGTCTACAACATGCAGTGCAGGTGGATGGGAAAGGAGGAGGTGAGGTCCTGATGGACCAGGACACGGGAGTTGAGATGCAGAAGGAAGATTGCACATTCTTTGGTGTTATGATGTATGAAGGCAGTGCTTAGCCAGCAGTGATGCCCCAAAAGCACAGAATACCACATGGTTTTCATAATAAAAGCAGAATTATAGCCATGAAGGAACAATTAGTTTAAAGGACAGATAAATTAAAGTTTGGCTGTTTACCTGAAGCCTCATATCAACACATTAATCAGGTGGAGAACAAGGGACGGATCCCAGAGTGAGGGAAACGGACAGTGCCAAACCCAGGTCTATGCAGATAAATCATCACAGAGGAAGAACATTAACATTAATTTAGTAATGAATATTAATTTGTGTCCCTGTGCTTTTTAGGGGCTTGAGATAAATCCTGTTTGGGGTGTATCTACCAGAGTCCTGTGCAGTGCTGGGGAATTCGCTCCTGAAATTCAGGGCTGAATCAGGAACTGTGTGGTCATATAGACAAGAATCTACAGCTATATATATATAAAGATTTACACTTTGGAGAGGTGGCAGTCACACTCTGTAATAGCTTTAAACTGCTTAAACTTTGTAATGAAGTGGACTGAAAATGTGAGGTGAGGGAAATGGGCTGCACAAGGATGAGTGACTCTGGACCAAGGTGAGTAAGGTGACCTCTGAGTAAGGTGACTGAAAGTAAGGATTTGAGCTAGAGATCCTGAAAAGACACTGGATCAGGACAAGACCTGGGAGATTTCATGGCTGAGCATGACTACCCTTTCCATTGCAGCTGGGATGGCAGTCTCCTGCCTGAGCTGTTGCTGTAAGCATGGGGGCTCATTCCTGGTGGCAAATGTGTTTCTTTCCACACACCTGGAACAATTCTGTGCCTGCAGCACCCCATTTCCCCTCTCGTGTGGCTTTCAGATAGGTCCTGGACGATGCAGCACTTGATGTTCCTGGTTGTGAACTGCCACACGAAGTGCAGAAGCACCTTGTACAGGCTGAGGTACCTGCCAGACCATCTGCCCCCACCTTCACCCTTCTTAAGGCAGCACCTCTTGCCTTTTGTGTTGTGGCCCTTTGGCACGTGGCCTCTCCCTGCTTCCCATACTACAGAGGGAGGCAGTTTTTAAACTCTCCTGAGGTCCTTTCCCTTCCTCCCTCTGCATAGGCATCGCTGCCCATCCACTGCAGCAGCACTGGATACCAGCGCTGTGAGTAAAGGCTGGGAGACTACCAGCAGAGGAAATGCTTTGAAAATGAGATCTCTTACTTCTGTGCAGAGAAACAGGCTATTTTGGGAGCAGATTGTGTTGGAGATATGGGCTGGGACAGGATTACTGCAGCTGCTGAAGGACATGCTGCTGTACCGAGAGCTTCCCAATAAGCAAGGCCAATAGATGTCACATAAAGAAACCCTCCAGGTTCATCAGTTCCTCTCCTCTCTCTTTGGCATGGCCTCTGGACTCAGACATGGAGTTTCCCCAGCCCCAGAGACCACCTCTGGTTTACAGCAATGTAAGAGACCAATCCCACCATTCCCATCTTCCCAAAAGAATAAAAGTTTCACACAGGTTCCAAATTACAGTAGAAAGGGTTGTCCTGCTGTGAGTCTGAGGGCAACACAGAGGACCGTGGTAACACTAAGTTCCAGCAGTCCTGGGCATGTTTAACAAGTGTTAAGAAAAATTCAGTCCTGAGCAGCTCCCAAGGCAATAACACCCCATTGTCTGCCTGAGATTCACTGATTCCTCCTCCAGCTGCAGCTCCCCAGACATTTAAATGACGTCTGATAATTAAACATGCTGTGAAAGCAGCTACAGTGCTTGTCAAAGCTCTGTTGGGTTTCACCAGAGATGCTTCAGCTGAAACCTTCAGTTCTTCAATTTCTGGTGAGTGGTCTGTTGGGACTGGCAGGGCACAAATGTTTGTCATCACCTGCATCTTCAGTGCACAGGCCCCATCTGCCAAGGCAGCAGTCTCCAGCCTGCAATCCCTAAAGCAATCCCAGTAGCCTGACTTAGTGTATAATTCCCCAAGCTAAATCCACGAGCAGGAGGAGCTGCAAGCCAGGCTGCAGAGCCCTGCAGACCTCTGTCCGTCATCGTGCTGAACGGCCGCTCCGAGAATTACCTGCAGATTTATTACCCTTCACTGTAACTTGAGAAGAACGTTGCTGTCTCTATTCTCACAGAGATTTACAGCTCATTCTGCCTAGAAATGAGGCTTTTTTCTTTTTTTAATTGAGTGATCTGTCTTTTGGGGAAATATTTTATTTTGTGCTGCATGTTTCAAGGTCTTTGACTGTGTCACTTCCACTTTATTTAACCACCCTGTCACACCAGCCTTGTACTCTCCCTGCTCCACTATCCATGGCAACCTTCATGGCTCATACATTTATTTTTCCTTGACTCAGCTCCGTGATTCTTCCCAAACTGACTCTAGAGACTGGAATGTATAGATAAGTCCTAATTTAGGACTTATCTACATGGGAGACTGTTCCAGAGATTTTGGGGTAACTCCTCTCTGTGGAAAGCCTTGCTGTGCCATCCGTGTGCACAGCTGGGAGTTACACCACAGAGCTGTCATAGTTCACTGTGCCTCTGTGCCACAATAAATTAGTACAAGCACTGACTCAGGAAAAGTCCTTGGCTATTACTGGAGAAAGGTCAGCTGAGAACTGCGTTCACTGTGTGTCCGCATCCAAAAAGCAAACGTAGACAGGGCTATATAAAGGATGGGCTGAAGGGTTATATAATTCAGTTACACAATGTATGTGATTGCTGTCAGCGGAAGACGGTCTCCAGTGCTTGTTAGTCTGTTTCAAAAATAAATAACAGGACTGGGGAGTTCAGGGACAAGCAGCGTTCTTACAGCGATGAACAAAAAAAAGTAAAGGATTGGAGCCATTTATCTGGGAAGGAAGGGTAAGATGCGATAAATCAAACCATGAGCGGTCTAGGACATGTGGCTTAAGAATGCCTGCTTTCCCCTTTCATAAAATAAAAGAGCAAAGTGTCATTTGAAGAGATGAGAAATAGCAAATTACAATTTTGCAGCAGCACTTGCCCGACATCCTTACAAACCACAGAGCTCTGGAATTTACTGAAAACCCAGAACATGGGAAATCTTGATGTGGTAACAGGAACGTATACAGTTGCAACACGGAAAGCTAAAAAATAAAACCCAAAAAAGAGAAGGGAGATGAATGCTTTGGTATCTGTTATATATAGGGGATTGATAATACACCATCAGGGAAAAAGAGATATCGAGGCTTGCCTCCACCCTCTACTGATGTCTCCATTACTAAACCCTCTCAGAAACAAGCAATCCCACCAAATGACCATGGATCCAACAGTATAGTGATGTCTGTGTTCCCAAGGAACAATAACAGCACTGAAGGCAAAGGAGCTGCCTCTTATTTCCAGGAATGTGTAACGTCTGCCTATTGTGCCCTTGCTGATACTTGCCATGGCCGTGCACACTGGAGCCACTGTTCACAAACAACTTCCAAAGATGTCAGTTCAGCCAGTGAAAAATATTATGTCTGAAGGAGCTCAGATTTGGTGAACTTTCATCAAATCTGAATTCTATCTCTGGTTGCCCTGGAAACACTGAGATGCTGAAGGCACCTCATCTCAGAGCAGCTTTTCCAAGGGGTTTCCTCAGGCTCCTCTCAGCCCCTGCAGCCCTTGCTGAGACACCAACCAGAGCATCAGTTTGACTCAGCAACTGCAGGGTGGGTCAGATTGCTCCTTCCTGGATTTACCATTGGTTCATATCCAGCCCAGACCTTTTGAGCTGAGTTTTCTTAGTCCAGATGCACATCTGTGCCATATGGCAGCTGCACCTGGCTGTGGGTCCCTCATTCCCCCAGATGGATGTCTCAGGTTTGCCCTGACAAAGTGGCAGAGGGAACTCAGGCAGTTCAAACCCATCCCAGAAGAAAGTGAACAGTGAAAGCACTTCTGCTACCAAGCACACCGCTGCTCTCCAGTTGCATTGTGAGTTACATGAAGCTGGGAAACTGTACCAATTATAGATTTCATTCAGATTTATGTGTGCTAGGTGCCCCTCGGACCAGAACCCCATTTTATCCTGCTCTAAGGGATGATATTTAGTGGCCAAGTTTCTCCCTCAATCCCAAGGTGTTTTACAAAACTCTAATGACAAATTCATGCAACCACAATCTAAATCCTGAGATTATGGGACATAATAGGAATTAATTATAGAATAATTTAGGTTGAAAAAGACCCTTAAGAGTCCAACCATTAACCTAATTAACTGTCAAGTTCACCACTAAACCTTGTCCCTAAGTGCCACATCTACACATTTTTTAAATATCTCCAGGGATGGTGATTCACCCATTGCCCTGGGCAGCCTGTTCCAATACTTGACCACCTTTGTTGGAGGAATTTTTAATAATATTGAATCTAAATCTCCCCTGGTGCAATTTCAGGCCATTTCCTCTACTCCTGTTGCTTGTTACTTGGGAGAAGAGACCAACACCCACCAGATCAAGTTCTAGTTGGGCTTTGGCCCAAATTAGAAATTTTCTCCCTACAAAATCTCCAAAAGTCATAAACTTTTTTTCCCTCTGAGTTCCAGCCAAGGCTTTTTGTCCAGCCAAAATGGTCCTCTTCCCCCCTATCTTGTCTTTTGGCGCATGGGGATGGCTGTTCCTGTTCCTTTAAGATTTCCTTCTTGAAGAATGTCCTGGTCCCCTTTGCCCTTCAGGACTGCCTCCCGAGGGACTGTGTCTACCAGACTTTTCATTTGGGGCCTTCTACTTCCCTCAGAGGGGAGTCTCCTATGACAATGACCCATCTTAATTTCTTTATGGAAGCACCATTGACTTAACCTCAGCAACACCTCTAACCTAGAAGAACCATCACTCTTGTCATTGTTCAGTTCCCCTTGCAGACCCTCCTACCTGTTACTCTGGGGCACCTGGGGGTTCAGTTCCCCTTGCAGACCCTCCTACCTGTTACCCTGGGGCGCCTGGGGAGGTGGGCAGTCACGGAGGAGATGCACATGCTACGCCAAACATGACCTTATTGCCACTGTCCCTTGTCCCCTGAGTCTCTTAGTTCAGCTAGGCAGAGAGAGGACAGGGAATCCTCTGTGTCCTGTGTCCTGTCTGCCTGTTGGGCCTGTCCCAGGGAAGGCAGGGTGTGATTCCAGCAGTCTGTCTCTCTCTCAGACTCCCTGATACTCCTCAACATCCTCCTTTCCTCCCAGAGCTCAGGCACTGAGTGGAGGAGTCCCACCACCCGGGCACACTCCCCCAGGGATGATCACTGGTCAAGCTGGCAGAGTTACAGCCCCCTCTGCATGACTACCCTCATTAATTATGATAATTACTGTTCTCTATGGAGTGCCATCCACTTCAGAGTCCCCACAAGGTTTTTCTGCACTGGTTTAATTGATGTCCCTGCTCTGTGAGGGATGTGAAACCTGTGACCACAGGAGAGTCACTTTAACTTTCACATTGATAGAATGAGGTTAATAAGAACACCCTGTTTCACTGGCAGGAGGATGCTATTCAAGATTATGGGTTGTCCAACTTAGAAGAAGCTGGAGACCATTAAGTATCCAAGCAAAGAGACTCATGGAGGAAACACAGGTAGAAGAAAGCACCAGAGCTGGAAGTTTGACTGTGCTCCACACTTGCTGTCAGGCCACCACAGTGGCAGCCCAGCCTGAGGGAACCCAGAAGCAAAGTGGAACTGGAGACTGGCTGCAGGCAAGGTTTCCACAGAGATCTTTCTGGTAAACACATTCAGACCAAGTAGTCATTAGGACTAAACATAAGCTTTGGTTTAGATGTTTGTTTTCGCAACCTGTCCGACCCAACCCGGGCTTCCCAGTTGTTTCCTTAGTAACCAGTCCATATGTCAGGATAGTTAAGGTTGTCATGTATGAGGTAAACAACTCAAGATTCAAAGAATACCTCATACCTACCTGATTTAGGCAAGAAAGCCACAAAATTTCCCCAATTTCTTATAATTCTTTTACATACAGGGTAAGGAAGTGTCTGTGGACTGAAAATCATGAAACTCTCATCTCTGCTGTGGATTTATTGACTGGGTAGAGAAAGAAGCAATTACAGTTGAGGGAATAGTATGAAAAATAACTGCTTCTGAATATTTCTTTCCAATTTTAATCAATGTTGGATGTAACAGTGGAAAAGTCAGTGATTATATTTAATGTCTAAGACAATATCTCTGAAAATTATAAGGTTATTTTCAGGTAAAAGCATTGATAGTGAGCATGTTTCACATCCAGGATGAATGGCTAAGATCAGATATATATTCATGCTTGATCTTTCATGCCCTTGAATATGCAGGGAATGAAAACAGCATCACATTACTTCTCCAACTAGGTGGAAATAACATAGCCCTAATGTTGAATCAATTCACAAAATAAACCCTGTGAATAGCTGCTGAGGAAATCAATATGAGGAAGGAGTGAACTGAACATCTGTTCTGAAAATCATCAGAAAAAGAAAAAATAGATTGTGGCTGTCCTGGTTTTGGTATCTCTAGAAAGTCTGGGCCTAAAAACCCCATCTAGATTAACAAATTAATTGAGAACCAAGTGGGGGGGTTGTGGAGAAAGAAACAAAGGGAAAAAATGGAACATAGAAAAAATTGAAATTAAAAAAATTAAATAAAAGAAGAAGGGTGATGGAGGGAAGCTGCACAGTTACAGATAAGAAGTAGCTTAATGGATAAGTTCTATGGACAAGCTTAATGGATAAAAAAGAAAACTAATGGAGAGGTGGGGGGAGAAGAGTATCAAGGGAAGGAGCAGTTCAAAAGAGGGGAGTTAAAGGCAGTAGGTAGAGAATAAGTTGAACCTTTTTCTTTCTGATACAAGATGGGAGTGCCAGCAGGAAGTACCTGTAAGAGAAAAACTGTGAGATGAGGAGGACAAGACCTCTGAGAAAGGGAGGGAGAAAGGTGCCAGAAATAGAGTCAGACGTGACCACTAGATTTTATGTCCTGTATAGCACAACCCTTAAATTTCACCTGCTGCCCTCTCCCTTTTTGACAAATGGCAGGTTTCCCTGAGGTGATGTGGTATTAAAGACTTGAAGAGATGGAAAATTATCTCGGATAGCTGTGAGATGGCCTGTGATAGAGGAAGGATTCCAGAGACAGCATGACCAAAAGAGGAGGACAGGAGGAAGATGGCTGAAAGGAGTGAGAGTATACAGAGGTAATGGCAGGGGAGGGTCAGAAAAGAGAGAAATGTTAAAGATGAGTCAAAAAAAAACCCAGACTGTAAATAAAGGTTTGTGCTGGTGAGAGGAGGAGAGGAGTGAGGTGAAGAGGAGAAGGAAGAGATGACTGGTCTAATGGGGATTAGGATGACATCAGAAGAACTGTCTGTGCATTGAGCTGACACAGCAACCAGTTTGCCTGGGCAAGAAGTAGATAATTGATACCACCCCTTAGGAGCTGCAGTTCATCAAAACCCTTTAGGGTAACCTCAGAAACCAACAGTCTCTCCTTGCCCTTAAATTGTTTTAATGGAACACTTTTCCTGCCTCCTCCTGTATTTTTAGCAACTCCTTGCAACCTTCTTTATCCTCAGCAAGTGATAAGCTGCTGGTAACCTTGTTTGCAATTTGTGGTTCATTAGAAGTTCAGTCAGAGGCAAGGGCAGCACCTGTGTGCAGAGTGAATTATTGAGCAGATGTGTTTGGTCTGAGCCTTGTCTCTACCGACCTCTTAAAGGTGCCACCTAATCCTGATTAGTCAGCACTCACTGGGGTTTCCTGCTCTGCAACACTGGTGTCAGTGGTGGAAAAAACCCCAATTATTAGATGCAGAAAAACACAAAGTTCAACACAACGTCATTGAGAAAAACAAGGGGCAGGGTAAGATGAGCAATAAGGTTAAGAGATTTATATACAAAACCACAGAGAAGCCCATCTCCGCTGGGTATGGTGCCCTAATCATATATACAGTGCTTGATTGTATATATATTGTATATACGTCATATATACATGCCCTGATTGTGTATACAGTGCAATGAGACTCCAGGCAGAAGCCTAGCACCCTTTTCAGTCTTTCTGGTTTTCACTGTTGTTCCCCAAACAACATCTTTAAGCACTGCAAAAGGGTGCCAGAAGGAACAGAGGCAGCTCCCTCATTCCCAAAGAGATGCAGGATTTGGTCCTGTCACATGGGAAATGTCCCCCAAACACAGAATTTCTAGAAAAGCTGTGGCTCGGCAGCACAGCTCCTTATCCATAATCTGTGCAACAGATGCACCAAGCAAAGCATCTCCTGTACTGTCAGCTGTTGCTTTAGAGTCTTGTATCTCCAGGGTTTACTCTTTTTCCTCTAATCTGCTGGATGAGGGTAATGAATATTTAAGTGCTCGATGCAAACCCGTCTGTCCTGGAGGAGAGGCTGGAGCTGCGCAAGCCGCGGAGCCGAGAGGATCATTGTAATCTGCTCCATGGGTGGTGCTGCCTGTGGCCAAATGGATTCCATATGTGAGATCATCTGTCATGCAGAAGGCATCATCATTAGTTCCCCTTTCTAGGAAGCCCTTCTGCTCTCCTGGATGAAATATGCTGCCACTGAACCCAGAATGTTGATTTGCCATGATGGTGCCAGTATGGAGCGAGCTCTTTGGTGACTTTCAAAATTCCAGTGCCTCTGTTCATTTTTTTGGACTTCAGGTAGACAATGTTGTTATTTTATTAATTTTATTCTTGATGCAGTTTTGAACCTCTGCATGAAGATCATTCCAGTGTCCAGATACCTTTGAGGAACATCATCTTGGGTAAGGAGAGTAGTCTGGATTAAAGATATGCCACACCTGTGCTTTTAATTTTAGCTTTACACTATTAACCAAAGAGCCACAAGCTGTTACTCTGTAGATCTGTGTAACATACTGGATAGTCACTCTATTGCAGCCAACATCTTCATCCTCACTTCTCTTTTTATTAGGAAGGTAGGTTCTCCTGCCCAGACCTGCTCAGAGAATCTTATATGACAGTGGGCAAGGTGCCTGTGGAAAGGGAGATTGTAAACTACTCTCCACGTCCCCTGGGGAGGGTCAGGTATAAGGAGTTTAAACTGAAACCAAAGAGTTAAGTTAAAGATAGCAGAACCCTGTTTGTTAGAGTACAGACAGTGGATAGGTGCCTGGGAAGACTGTGAAACCTCTGGCACTGGCAGTTTGTCCAATCTGTCTCTCATCTCCCAGGGATTAGTCGGGGGCTACTTCATCTGTATCTTTTACCAGCTAGGTTTTCAACTCTGCTTTCGGCTGTTATTTAGCAGCAGATGTTCAGATTCTGAATATTCTCCAAAGCTACACAGTTGTTATTAGGCATAATTAACACCAGGAACCTTAATCCATAAGCCTCCTTTAGGTTGGACTCAGTCCTATTCTGTGTTTACAAAATAAAACCTTCATGTGAAGATCACCTCTTTGAAAAGTAATTAGCAATCCTAGCTCCCTGTGAGGAAGAGAAATACTTGTAGAATTTGGAAAGCAAGAAATATTGCTGGAACACATAGCTGTTTGTCCTAACAGCAGCACAACTTAACACTTACAAACTCTCCAAATTTATAGTGCTGAATTAATTACTTAGCCATGTATCTAAATTACTTAGCCATATATCTAAATCAAATGTTCAGGAAAGTCATTAATATTACTCAGAACTACCAGTTTATGGATCATTGTCTGTAATCAGGTTGTGGTAGTTCAACGAGATCTGCATTTCCTGTGGTTGACAATGGATTATTCACGTAGGATGTGCAGCATAATTGAGTTAAGGTTATGGAAGCAAACATACCTTCTGGAATTTTCCCAATCTGAGGTCATATAGCTTAATAAAGTTGTATAATTCCAGGGGTGTTTTTAAGCACTTGCACTAAACAAACACCGTGTCCATGCCTTCTGAAGAACAACAATAGGATAGGAACAGTTGTTTTATTCTAGGATCTGGTTAAATAAATTGGAAGTGCAGTGCAGTGTTTGGGAGGTTTCAGTTCTAAAGCTATTTCAAGAAACCCATGAGGATTTCACTAAAAATCTGCAGCTGCAGTATGTGCAGGCAAACAGGATGCTGTTCTATCACCAAAGGAATAACAAACAATTCCAAAAGAGGGGGTAATTTAGTTAAATATAGCACTTAAAATAATATACTAAGAATCTACATCTTTTGTGATCATTCTACCTTTTTATGCAGTGGATAGTTGCAAAATCCTCAAACTGATAATGACTGCAAGTGGTGTTCCCATAAGAGGAGAAATGAAAATCTGCAGATAACAGGCTGAAGGACAGTGAGGCAGGCACAGGCTCATGAAAATGAGATAGAATGTCTGATATCATTGCTTTGTCTGCTTCCTAGGTTGGGTCTTTGAGGTCTGTGCTGGTTTTGGCCGAGGCAATTTTCATCATAATAGCAAGTATGGGACTGTGTTTTGGATTTGTGATGAAAATAGTGTTGGTAATTCAGGGATGTTTTCATTATTGCTGAGCAGAGCTTACACAGACTCAAGGCTTTTTCTGCTCCTCACTCCACCCCACCAGTGAGTGGGCTGGGAGTGCACAGGAATTTGGGAGAGTACACAGCTGTGACAGCTGACCCCAATTGGCCCAAGGGATATTCCAGAGTGTAGGACATCATGCTCAGCATCTGAGGAGAGAAGAAGGAAGGGGGGACATTCAGCATGATGGTGTTTGATTTCCCAGGTCACTGTTACACGTGCTGGAGCCCAGCTTTCCTGGGCACGGCCAAACACCTGCCTGTAGGAAGTGGTGAATGAATTCCTTGTTTATTTTGTTTGTGTGTACAGCTTTTCCTTCCCCTATTAAATTGTCTTTGTCCCAACCCACGAGATTTCTCACTTTTCCAGTTCTGTCCCCCCTCCCACCAGAGAGGAGCGAGCAAGGGCTGTGTAGGGCTGAGTTCCTGGCTAGGATTAAACCATGACAAGGTCTAAAATACACAGCAATGCTGAGAAAAGTGTGCAACACTAAAACCACTGTGAAGGGGCTGCTGGTCAGTGCATGAGCTTGTTCCTTGATTCAGTGCAGCCCAAGGACCAATCTCCATTGTCTCTAAGAATCTCTCTCTGACATCAGCCAAAGCAGATGCCTCAGGAAGGGAGTAAGAACTGGACAAAGCAGACTCCCATTTTGCAACTATTTGCAGTTCAGGCCCTTCCTGAAAAGGTGGGCTTGGTGTATTAATAACACTCAATCTCTCTCTTCCTCAAAGAGGCTGCTTGAAGGGATGCTTTTGAAGCCACATCAGTTTTTGGTTCCCACAACACAGTGTGGCAGGAAGTTCCAAAGTTTAACTCCAGGCATGAAGAGTCACTTCCTTCCGTTTGCTTTGAGCGTGTCCTCTCCTACTTAAAATCACTGGTTCCTTCTTCTGTTATTGGAAAGTGCAATGAAAAATCAATCTCTTCACCTTCCTCATGATGTTCATGATGTTATAGATTTATCATTTAGATTTATATCTTCCCTTCCCTTTCCCCCTACAGAGGTGTGCTTGCCTGAAAGTTTCTCTTCGGTATTGAGGTAAAATTGTGGGAAGGTGGGGGAAGCTTAGAGATTGAATTTTTGTGGTGGTTCAAACCACCACAATTGAAGTAGTAACTTATTAGTTTTCCCTTACATCGAGTAGTTACAGACTCCTTATCAGCCTTTTAACCCTCATCTGAATCTTTTTACATCTATTGTTTCCTTTTCAAGTGAGAGGACCAGAGCTGCACACAGGATTCCAGCTAGAAAAGCCATAGAGTTATACAGTTGTGTAGTAACATTCTCTGCTTTTCTCTCTTGTCCTTTTCCTGGCAATTCCCAACATTTGATTTGTTTTAATGCTTAGCTGATGTTTCCATGGAACTACCTGTTATAGCCCTAACTCTTCACTCCTGGCTGGTAACAGCCATCTCAGAGCTACTTGTGAGCTGAGGGCTGCTTTTCCCCTTGGGCATCATTTGTCTGTCCAGTCACTGAGATTCTGCAATTCTTCCCAGTCTTTCCTCATCTTTAATACCCAGAGTAGTTTTGAATCATAACTAAACCTTGTCACTTCACTGTTTCCTCCTTTCCAGCTCATGAAGGATTCTGTAAGCAAACAGCACAAATCTCCAGGGGACACCACTGCTGATCAGCCTCCACCACAAAACCTGACCATGAGCTCTCACTCTCTGTTTCCTGGGTTTTTTATTCATTCCCTTTTTATTCTTCCAGGGACCTTCCCATTTACGCCTTGTCTTTCCTTAAAAGCCTGTGGTGAGAGATGCTGTCTGCAGCTCTCAGGA